CTGTCTGTCTGTCTGTCTGTCTGTCTGTCTGTCTGTCTCTCTCTCTCTCTCTCTCTCTCTCTCTCTCTCTCTCTCTGGCTTTGTCTCATATACACACACATACATACTCACAGATACACACACAAACTCACGCATGCACACACATAATATTAAACTGCACATATAACCACAAAAGTTTAAAGGGTGGACTATAGATGTTTGGGGTAGGGTTTAGAACTTCGGAGGTATGAACTAACTGATACTGGTGGGCAAGGGTCAGGGTTATGGGTTTGCGGCTCAGGTTTAAGTGATATGTTAAGAGTTGAGTGAAAAGGTGCAGCGGTTTGGGTGGAGGGTTTACGAGGCAGAGGTCAGGATCTAATGTCGTGCCTGTGGAGGTTGGTGCGCGAGATGGGGGGATGAGGATATGGAATATTCCTATTGTTGGGGCTTACGACTTCATGGTTAGGCATTATAATAATAATAATAGCTCGCCCGTCAATATCTGACGATGACCAATACAATAATAAAAGAGAGTATTTCTCTAGCGAAATAGAACAATAAATAGAATAATTAAAGGTCTAGATGGCTTGTGGCTTCTGCTGTGGCCGATGATACCAAATCTGGCAGGGGAAAGTTTGCCACATTTTGAACGATTAAAAGCTTCACTCCCATTTGTGGACGTGCGCAGCTTGCAGTTTTCTCTCCTGGTTTCAGCATTTCTTATTCGTGAAGCCTCATACAATTTGCTGCCCACCGTGACTGCTGCTCTCCAACAGGGTCTGTCAGGAGCTTAGGCATTACTGGTTTTGTATTATATTACACCTGCAAAAACAGTTTATCTAATCTTGGAGTAGATGTTAGGACAGGAAAACATCGAGGAAAATGATAAAGGAAAAAACTATAATGCTAGAGAGCAGCCTTAGAAACAACCAGGCTGAGAAGCGCCAACGACGAAAGGAAAACAACGGAAATACAGAGCTTCGATCCACGCCACTGACACACAAGCACTGCGACAGAATCTGCGCTTCTAACATAGGAAGAATAAGCTATGAAAGAAGCTGCATAAAGACAACATTGATACCATGTTAAGCTAATTTGACCGTCTGCATAGACGAAAAGAGACATACATTATATTACAATTATGATATCGTGTATTTCAACAATGGCATTACAGTGGAACTTTTGACATTATAATGACATTGTGTAAGACGCCCACCTGTCTAAAGTAGCCTAGTGGTTAGTTTATCGGACTCGTAATAATGAGACAGCGGGTTCGGGGCTTTGAGCCTCAGCTCGGTCCGATATTGTGTCCTTAGGAAAACACTTTACATGAATTTCCCACTTAGTTCGGTCCTTTCGGAGATGGACATTAAACTCCGAGGTCCCGTCTCATAAATAAGCTAACAGTGTTGATACTTGATAGAGGCGTTAAACCTATACCATTTCACTACTTTCACCACCTGTCTAATATAGAAACTTTTTCTCCTAGACAATGGTTGGCCGTCTTAGATAAATCCCACTGTATTTATCAATCAGGTCCTCCGATTTAAAACCCACTTCTCTGATAGAATCCAACCGAAGGACGAAGAGCCCCGAAAATCCTCAGAACAGCCACGTTTTAAGAACGCCCAGTAGGGGATCTGGGCCTGAGGCATCAGCCTCTTAATCCAACATAATCCCAACAGAGGCTGCTGTAAGCCTGTAACGGGTTGGGGGTTAGAGGTCATAGGGTCAGGGGGTCAAGGGTCAGAGGTGGTGGCTTGGGATTAGTGTTGAGGGTTCGTGACAGACAGCTGGGATTTATGAGTAAGGGGTTAAGGTTAGGGCTGGGGCTAAGGGTGGAAGATGGGGTTAAGGTTGAGGTTAGATCTGGCTTGCTTGAACCTTTTGTGCTGTATTTTTTTCTTTTTCGCATTGCTTTTGACTCTGACTATAGACATGTAAGAAAGAAATCCACACACACACACACACATACACATGCACACACATACACACACACACACACACACACACACACACACACACACACACACATACACACACATACACACGCAAACATACACACATAGATAGATAGATAGATAGATAGATAAATAGATAGATAGATAGATAGATAGATAGATAGATAGATAGATAGATAGATAGATAGATAGATAGATAGATAGATAGATAGATAGATAGATCTTTCTTCTTCTGTATTTCAGGAATCTAGGTGGCACCCTGAAATGCTGTCGTAAGCAGCCCTATAACCCAGATCTGGAGATGTGTTGCGGAGAATCGGTGAAGCCAAGACTTGGACATCAGAAAGGAATGGATGTAAGTTTCTTAGACGATACATAGTGTGGTAAAAAATTCGCGACGCAACTTACTGTTAAATATTTCCTCAACTTTCGAACATAAAGGTCTGCAGCTTTTGCACAAAGACTTGTACTTATTTGTCTTAAGAGATTAATATTTTTACAGACACCTGTTACCTGTATTCTAAAAAATTATTTGAATAAAAATACTGATTAAAATCCCAGTGGGTGGTTTCTGCAGATTGTAGAAGGTTTACAGGTGGGGGAAGATCGCTTTTCAAGGCAAGTCTGGCTTTTTTTCTTCTAATCGCTGAGAAACTATGAGTGGGAAAACGTAAAAAGTGTTCACTATACAATAATATTAATTTCTTGTAACAAGTTTTGCCACTAAAAGTGTCATTGGCCATATGTGTATGCAGAATGTGTGTGAAAAGCAGGGGGTGCTGTGAGCAATCATATTTTCCGTGTGATGGAGATTTATAGTACTTTATAAAAATTTATGAAGAAAAGTTTTTAAATCTAGCTTCAATTGTTGTTGAAAAATATGTTAAGTCAAAACAAATTGAATCAAACTGCTGAGCAAAATATAAGTGACACTGATTCACTCGTTAAAGAGGTATTTGAAGATACGCTGCGCCCCGAATTTTTGACTACACTACAGAAGCAAAGTCAATTTCTCTTTTTGATAAATTGTGAAAACATTCAGAAAAAAATACAAGAGAAACAGGCATCAGAATACTTTTATACCTAGATGCCTGGAGGTGTCATCTCTGACTCAGATACCGTTGCACATTCTGCTATATCCAGGCCAGGCCATGTTTTTGTGTTGTCCATTTATGTTACTGTTTTATCGTCTCTGGCTCTCCTGTCCCACATCCTTCCTTAAAGCATCTCTTTGACAATGGTCTCACGTCGTTTTAAGTGATTAAAGCTTTGTACTTTTCTGCATTTTATTTCATTCAGCAGGGTTTGTCTTGTGAGAAGAATCTGACACATCTGATTGTTTGTCTTCTTTGCTTTCTAGCTAATTCTGGCCACTCTGTGGTAGCGACACATCTAAAACCCAGCCATGTTGTTTTCTTCTTTCTTTGTCAAAGTCCATGTCTCAGCGCCATATAGGACTATGCAGAAGATGTAGCATTCCACCATTTCTTTCGTAAAGGTAGAGTTACTTGCCTGGCTGTTAATAGTTTGTGCATTATACTTTTATAACAGCTGCACTAAACCACGCCCAACGTTCACATGGCAGTAGCACCTAAATGACCCAAATTATGTCCATGCGGGCGTGGCGTACACATTTGCCACAAAATCACAATGTGAAACTGTCTATAGCTTGTGTTGTCTATATGTTCATATAGTTTATGTGTTTGTATATCTGCACTTCCCTTCATGAAAATCTGAGAATGTAAAGAAAAATGTATATCATTTTATACACTTCTTTTTTCTCTTTATTATTCCAGTGCTGCGGCAAACACATGTATAACCCTATGACCTCATTATGCTGCGAGGAAGGAAACACATTCCCCAAGACTCCTGGAACCCAATGCTGTGGCAAAAACTTCTTCCAACCGGCGTATCAGCAATGTTGTTTTGGAGATGCTCTACCCAAAGGAGCTATGTGCATGGCTAAATGAGGAAATAAGAAAAAAAATGCACACACTTTAAGTATTGATCTACATCAGAACACACTATCAGTCACCCGAGCCCTTCCGTTTAAGATGGCATTGAAGTGAAAGATTTAGGCGTGGAAGGAAAACGACCCATTTTCTGACTTAGCACTATATCAATGGAGTGTGTGTGTTTCAGTGACAATCGAAAGCAGTGCACGTGCTGGACAGTTATCCATGACTTTTTCTTATCTTCCCACCTTGAAACTGCTGTCCCAAGATGGACATGATATGTGCGTATGCCTTGAGAAAGGTCCCAGTTGTCGGGAATTGTACTTTCAGACATACTCTAGTAATTTTATGGAATAGTGGCGAAATGAATCTAACATATCAGATGCCTCTTGACCTAATTTCTAGCACATCTTTAACACTCTGTGAAAATAATAAAAAGTAATGAATACTCAGTTTTGTGAGAAAAAACCATTTTAACACATTATTTAGGAATGGCCAAGCATACTCTTTCTCAAGGAACTGCATTTTGGAACATATGACACTTTTCTTACCTTTTCACCTCCTAGCACAAAAGTAGCCCTGCTGACAACTAAGACCTTTCTCCAGGCATACATACATATTACTGTCTGAAACTTTGAGCTTATAGTTCAGATATTTTCAGTTTTATATAAAAGTTAGTCTTGTGAGAGCATAAAACAAAGAATAAAAACATATTATAAAACAAAACCCAATCTGTTTTCCTTGTTTTTGTTTATCTCAGTGATATGTCTTCTTATCTCAAATGTAAAACATATGAATAATCAAACGTATTAAACGACACAATCGACAAAATTTAGACCATTTAAAAGACGGGCTGCTTCGACCCTGAAAATCAGGGCCACCCGCGCTGAGGACAAGACCTTGCAGACAGACAGAAGAGATATTCCATTAAAAAAAGTCCCCACTCGGGAATTGAACTTACGTCGTCTGCGTGCTACAACAAGGCACCTAACCACTATACCAGAAACGCTGGTCTTTTCTTTTAAACTGACTAGGAAGTATAATCTTTCACCGAATGGAAAGACTAACGCTGTGTAACAGCTAAAGCGACCCACTTCTTAAAGGCTTTTCTACACTGACTTATCTTTTATTGCATTTGATATGTATTTCCACATAGAGATTCAGCTCGGTCCGACATTGTATCTTTGGGAAAGGCACTTAAGGCGAATTTCCCACTTGGCTCGGTCCTTTCGGAGATGCACGTTTAACTCGGAGGTCCCACCTCTTAAATAACCTAATAGTGTTGATAGGGGCGTTAAACGTATACCATTTCACCATTTTCACATTGAGGTATTTAGAATACAACTTCTCCTGCATTTAAAGCAGCTTAAAAACGCTGTAGCATTTTTCAATATGAAACAGGAAGTTTCAAGTCCGCCCCGCAATCCAGTGGTTTTTTAAAATTTAGGTTTAAATCAAAATCTATATATGGTGTTTTTACGCCCGGATCCACTTTATTTAGATCATTTTGGAGGTGGGCTTCCTTTCCCGCCTCTCAGGGCCAACCAGGACTCAGAGAGAGACACAAGATCCTAGCAGAAAATCAGAGATACCTGATACTTATTTTATTTTTTCCGTACCCAGGAATCAAACTCGGGTCTCCTACGTACCACATGGAAGCGCCTAACCTCTACATCACAGATACAGGCTTTATTTACATAATTTTCTCTCCCTTTTTTCTTACTGACAGCTTCAAAAGAGCAACAATTATCTACGATTGTGCGGAAAGTTGGAGGGCGCAGGTTCTACCTCTTTAATTTCCCTCTGTTGTTTTTGTCTGCCAGTCTTACTCTTTTCCAGCAATTAATGATCATTATTGTGTCGATGTGCTTCTCGTTGTTCAAAAACTCAATTGTGCCGCCTGATGAGACGCACTGCGTTATGATGACGAACTAGATCTGCCACATAGAAAGTAAAAATTCCGACCAGAGTAGGGTCAATATGGTTTCTTCTTCGAATATTATTTCCTCTAAGTCTACTGTCCTAGACTTGTCTACCTTTTTTTCTTCGAAATAGCTATAATTTGCTTTCAAGAAGGAGTTAAACTGCAGCAACGATATCATCATCACCATCACCATCATCATCATCATCATCATCATCATCATCATCATCATCATCATCATCATCATCATCAACAGTAACAGCGACAACAAAAACTAAAACATAAACAACACAAGAAGATAACCTATGAGACAAGTCAGGTAACTGAGTCGACTACTTTTATAGTAGTGTAAGAGTACGGGTTTAACGCCCCTATCAACAGTATTAGTATATTTAAGAGGTAGGACCTCTGAATTGAATGTCCGTAACCGATAGGACCGAGCCAAGGGGGGCGAGGGCCTTGAAAACTCCACTAAACGACAGGGGAATATTTGGCTTTTGACCTAACCATGAAAAATGCGATTTTGGCTCAGACACTTCCAGGTCATGAAGGTCGTGTTTCGGACGCTACTTAGATTTTACTCTGTGAACAAGAAGCTCAGAAATATCGTGTAGAATATATGATGAGATATACTTGTACAGAGAGTGGTTTTGTGGTATGGCAAAATATAATTTGATCAAACAGATTATTACCAATGCAAACCTCTTTTACAATACAGATTGTAGTATAGGCAATTTGAGCCTGTCACTGTATTTTGCATTCATGCGTTCAGAACCACTACTATACCTTTTCCATCTCCTAAAATCAATATTCTACGTTCTAGTAAAGACAATTTGAGCCTGTCAGTGTATATACTATACCTTTTCCGTCACTTAAAATCAACAATCTACCTATTTCGAAAGTTCCAAACTACACTCAGGTTTGCTCCCAAGGGTACTATGGGAAAACAAATGGCGTTTGGCTCCAAATACTTTGTCAGACAGGTCTTTTCCCCACGAAATCTATGCAATCTGGATACGTTATAATATCTCTTATCATGGCAACATTGTAGTAGAAGAATAAAGGCTGAGGCAAAATGGATGTTATATGGACGATTTATTTGGTCTTTTTTGAATGAATTGTGATTTTTTCTAATAAATAAAAATGTACAAAATGGCTTATGGCGAATTAATAAAACTTTTTTAAGGACTAAAAGGTGCAGCTTGGATCGGGTTTTCTGAGTGCTCCACTTCAGTGGATGATTTTCTGCAAAGGAAAAAACAAAAGTAAAAGTGTTAGGTACACGTTAAAAAGTTGTGTTGTAGACGGCGCCTTTGTCATTCCTGTGGTCTTCGTGGTTGTAGTAGATGTAGTCGGTTTTGTAGCGACTGTTGTCAGTTTTGTATTGGTCGGTTTTGTAGTGGTTGTTGTTGGTTTTGTAATGGTCGGTTTTGTAGTGGTTGTTGTCAGTTTTTAAGTAGTTGTTGTCGGTTTTGTAGTGGTTGTTGTCGGTTTTATCGTGGCTGTTGTTTTCGGTTTTGTAGTGGCGTCTGTGGTGTCGTGGGTAGGCGCTTCGCTTCAGATCGTTTAAGAGGCCGGCTGCTTTGGCCCTGCTTGTCAAGACAACCTGGATTGAGAGGAATGCAACATCCCATCCAAGCAGACAGACGGACGTCCTCGATTAAAATTCCTCCCAATGCGGGAATCGAACTCACGTCTTCTGCTTGCGACAGCAAAGCGCCTAAATGCTACTCCAAACACACTGGTTCACCAACCGAAAGACAATTGTCACCAAACGCTCTGGCGAGATTCAACCTGAACTAAACAGAACGTCGCTCTATATTCCAAGAAAATGCCCCTCATGATTTTCACAACTATTTATATGATTTCATTTTTAAAGAAATTTGACAAGATAAATGAGCAACATTTACACCACTAGAATAGTGTATGTGCAACAAAATTGCTGAGATATTTGGCAAATACATTTGCAAAGTTAATGATAATCAACACACGACGTAAAATTAAGCCAGGTTTCGGGAACTGCCTCAAATTCACCAATCTATTCATTTCACAAGAATATAGTTCAAGTAAACTTTTGTAGAAACAAATATATTATGCCTTCCAGCCCAACCCTCCCTACCCTCCTCTTTTTTCATACGTCAAATATTTTATATTCTGAAACTGAAAGAAAAGAACTCACCATAGCTATTGGGAATTATCTCTAAGATCCTGGAACTATGGGGTATTCGTTCTGCAAATGCTGAGGAAAAAGAAACATAGAGTACGTTCAAAATGGGTAACAGAATCATGATAACACTTTGCTTCTTACCAGACACTAGAATACGACGCGCACACTGCTAGGAATACAGAACAGGAAGCAAAGGGTTAATAGTGATAATAAATTAAATAGCATTTTGTGCAGTGCAATTTCCAACTCAACAGCAAGCTTTATGTGCTTTACAATTTACATTTATATAGTCAGCTAAGTTGTTCTGGTTGTGTTTTTATTGGGGTTTATGTAGATTTTCTACACATCTATGTTAGAAGACAAAGGGGAAAAACATAAGGATGAAAACCCTGAGAACTTGTTAAAGAGCATTTTAGTTTGTTTCCCTTGTATGCCTTCTGGACGTGTAAAATAATCTTTTGACCGTATCTAATTCAAAATAATATAATTTACGAGTAGTACTACCCAGACCTGCACTTTTCTACCTGTTCTTTGCCTCCTCTGACTGACCCCCCCCCCCCCTCTAAAAAAATTTAAAAAAATAAAACCCGTCCCCCCAAAAAGCAAAAAGACCACTAAAAAGCAACCTCACCTTCCAAAAAAGTAAACCCCCCCCCCTCACCCCAACCCCCCCTCCCCAACCCAAGACCCCACTCCTTCTTTCTGTCTACTCAAGACAAGACGCACGTTTTTTTTCTCATTTTTACCAAAGCATATTTAACCTATTTACTAGTAAATATGTTTCTACTTGAGCTGTCCAGCTGCATGAAAAGTAGTCCTTACGATCTGGCAATGATGTGACTCTTGGGTAATTCAGCACGTTAGCATACCCAAACAGGATGTTATGGACAGGGGGGGGGGGGGGGCGCAGAGAGGGCCCATTCAGTCTAGCGACTTTGACCTTTTTTTCGGCAGAAAGTCGTCGACCACACACCTTACTGCTAAAAAAGCTACCCTTCAAAACGTAATTAGAGGCATATCCTTTGTGTGTGTCTTTAAGTTATGTCCCAATTGTCGGAAATTTGGGATATTGACATAGGGGCATATCCTGGGAGCAAATTCAATGCTGAACACGCTGATTTTTAAATCTTGAGTAGTTTTATAAGGTATGCCACATTTTGTAACACAGGATGTAAAGACAAAGTTTGCAGAAAACCCCAAATTTCTAGCACATTTTTAACCTTGGGTGAAGTACAACGTGTTAAAAAATAAAAATATTCACACTTAAATATTAACACATTTTTTCAAAATGTTAATAAGAATTAATGGTAAAACTCGTGTTTTCTGATGGAACTAAATTAAAAGGTATGACGTTTTTAGCCTTTTCTGTGTCAATGTGGGTGTAAAATCTACTACTTTAAAGAAAAACCTGACCTACCTCCACACTGTATCTTACAAATCGGTGTTGATAGTCCTCTGGCAGAGCTGAGAATAGAGAAAAATACGATGTCAGACAAGTAAGTCACAAGCGTATATTTTGCAGATTTTGTCAGACAGTTCAACAACAGATAAAATCGTTTATTGTACAATAGTTTCTTTTATTTGTTGCTGTGGTTTGAGTTTACTTTGCCTGTATGGTGATGCTCTCTCGAAAGATACAGAGAGACAGAGAGACAGAGAGACAGAGAGACAGAGAGACAGAGAGACAGAGAGACAGAGATACAGAGAGACAGAGAAAAAAGAGAAAAAAGAGAAAGAGTCAGTATATATATAATAGTACTCACCATCAATGTATTCCAACAAGACAATGTAGCCCAGTTTGTCCAGCAGGGGCTTGAGGTTGGTGGTCTCCGCGGCGGAGAGCATCTCAAACGTCAGGAGGCGGTCGTCCAGGTCAAGCGTGGGGAAGAAAGTGGAGCCTTCGATTTCTTGCACCTAGAAAAGAAAAAAGATCCCACACATACACATTCGTTCATAAAGATATTTTAATTATTAACGTTTGAACACCCCCAAAACAAAAATGAGAAGTTTAGGAGTCCGGAATTGTGTTTTTGGGTAAGGCACTTCACACAAATGTCCCACTTGGCTCGGTCCTTTCGGAGATAGACGTTAAACTCGGAGGTCCCGCCTCTTAAATAACCTGACAGTGTTGATAGGGGCGTTAAACCTTTACATTTCACTATTCCCACTATTTTCAGAAATTTAAGAGGCATCCACTTCAGTTGTCACTTGTTCTGATGCACTGTTCCTACGAACGATCGTGATGTCCATGACTTTATGTTGTCCGCTCAAAGTAGCCATTGCCTATTCTCATCGCTTCTAACTTCATCATCATCATCATCATCATCATCATCATTGCCTTTCTCACCCTGGATCAGGATAAAGGCCATGAACAAACATTTTCCACCTTTCCGTACGCTTCTAACTTGCCTTTTAAAGAAGTACATAGACCATTTGGGAGGTGGACTTCGACGTGCCCGTAAGGGCCAACCCCGGCTGAGATAGATACAGCATCCCAGCAGAAAGACGAACTTACTCAATAGAAAATAATGTTCCTCATTCGGGAATTGAACTCGGTTCTCCTTCGTGCGAAGTGATTAACCGGCACATCATAGATGCTGATCTAGCTTTTCCTCTAGTATTTCATTTTGAAATGCATTATGGTTCTTTATGTGGCCAAGAATGCCAACCTACAAGAACACTTGTTATACAGAACATTCTGAGGTTACTTCCCCTGTTTTGCAGATATCAAGTCTTTTCATTTCCCTAGCAGATTTGAAGTACAAACAACCTGTACTCGCTAACACTTTAGTAACAGTTTCGTAACATAATTTCCAAGTGATAAATTTCCACGAGGCATGTGGGGAAAAGGATGGCCGTCGGCAGCTCATCTAACTGGTAAAATTAAGACTGGATACCAAATTGTGTTCAATTCTCTCAAAAGGTTTAGATGTGGAGAATGCCGACGGTGAATAAGCGGGTGGCCTCAAAGGTCAAAGTATTAGTCCAGGAAGTCTTCTCTCAGGATGGGGTATAAATAAATCTCAACCCACATTGAAATAAACCCAAATATTCCTCAAGTTAGCCAAATACATGACAGGTGCGGTGCTGCAACTGGGGATTTAATTTTCTTTTGTTTTCAGGTCAGAGTTTTACGGCACTTACAACACTATACGGTCATGTAAGTACCGAAGATTAGATGTGTTACAAGAGAAAAACAAACACAAAGAGAAGGAGGAGAGGCAAGGACAATATAACATAATATTATATTTTATAGGAGAGAAGGGCAAACCATGCCAGAGCACCCGCTTACCACCCACAAATGAGGGTTCCCACTAAGAAATGAATACCGGGTAAAAAGGGAAATAGGGTGGTTGGCGGGTGCTCTGGTGCAGTTTGCTCCTTCTTTCCAGAATGGGCTCCCCACCCATTTTGGCTTGGTCCTATCGGAGATGGACTCTAGATTCGGAAGTACCACCTCTTAGTTAACCTTAGAGTGTTGAAGGGGGCGTTAAAAGTATACGATAACAGAGGATAAATCTTTATACAAAAGCAGCCTAATAGTGAGAACATTGTCAGAAACAGAACTGTATAAATTGTCCTATCTCTCCACCTTTTCCTTGAACGTTACCCTTCTGTAATACCTCTAGTCTTCGGCACTTACATGGCATATTCGTGTTGCAAGTACCGTGAACTCTTACTAAATGAAAACATGAAATTGAAGAAATGACATACCAAAGAGATGAATGGGTCCACTTTGTCTTTGTCTGCTGATGGAGCTCCATAGACAACGGCAAGGAATACTGCAAAGATGGCGAGGACTTTCATCTTGTGTTTTTTGTTTCTTCCAAAGTGTGACTTTGTTTGTTTTAGGATCTGTTGGAATATCAACATAGATACTACGTTAATGGGAATGCTGTGTATAGTTTTTCTTGATTCATACGATACCGTGTTCATAATCATGACCATCCATGTCAAGTTTATATGCACTCTAATACAAACAAACTTTAGGAAGGTACCTTTGGCTCATAATTGGTCGCTTTTAACCACACGGGTGCTATCCTGGAAAATGTTGTTTTGAGAACATCGAAGGTAAAGATTGTGCCCCTTGTTCAGATTCTTTACAAGACAAGGATAGTTTTCTCTATAACCAAACAAATATAAACACCAATGAAATCAAACTTCTCCTAAAGGTAGGGCATTGCCCACTCTTGGTGTCGGCCAAGATTTCTGGAAACCCACGAAATATGGGTTAGCTTGCTTAAAAGCGACCAATTTAGCTCATGGTTCTAATTCCCAACGGGGTGTTCTTGAACTTGGTTTGTTTTGGGCTCCTCACCCATTTTGGCTTGGTCCTATCGGAGATGGACTCTAGATTCGGAAGTACCACCTCTTAGTTAACCTTAGAGTGTTGAAGGGGGCGTTAAAAGTATACGATAACAGAGGATAAATCTTTATACAAAAGCAGCCTAATAGTGAGAACATTGTCAGAAACAGAACTGTATACATAATTAACATAGGGCATTCAATAAAACGATAACACTGGTGATGAAAACGGTAACAACGCAGATCTGTTGTACAATAATATTTATGGATTCAGAAATAGCTGCACTTGGAATCGTGATCAAGATACAAAAGGGTTTTGTAAACATTAAAAAATCAATTTTGATTTTTTTAAAAACAGAAACAGAAAAACGAAGTGAAGTGGACACACCTTGAAAGAACCGAAAAAACATTACCCACCAAGCTTCGCAAGAATCCACACTAAAAAAGAAAGAGAGAAAAGCCTAAAAGTACTTGGAGGAGGAATAAGATAGATTCGGACTTTCAAAGAAAATGGGTTATAGCTGGTCAGAAGTGGTGACCATAGCCCAACACAGAAGAGCTCTTATTTGTGGTCTATGCTCTGCCACAGGGGGAAAGAGGCTGATGAATGAATGGTGGTGCATTAGCCTAAATCGACTACGTCTGTGATGTAGTGTTATGTGCTTTGCCGTCGTGTGCAAGAGACTCGATTTCTATTCCTGTGCGGGGTGAATTTTTATCGAGTATCTTGGTCATACTGCAAGGACAAATACATAACAGGTTGGCCCTAAGAATTAGGAACGAAGCCTGACTCCTAATTTATCTAAATTGTATCGTTGGAGGCGTAAAAACCATTAGTTACAAACAAAAACAGTATAACAGCATAGTAATGTTTTTACTCGTTTGTGGCCGAGTGGTTAGGCTCTCCGACTAGCAACCCTAAAGTCGTGGGTTCGAATCTAGTCAGGGGTCTGAAGTTGTGTCCTTGAGAAAGGCACTTTACACGAATTTTCCTCACTTCACCCAGGTGGGAATGGGTACCCAGCTATTGACAGTGAAAAATCGTGTCAGTTTGTTAGTGAGCGCTTAATCAGCTACTTGCACTGTATGCTTCCCGGGAAGTGTGTTCTTGTGTCTGTTGGTGTAATAATAATATATTGTAAAGCGCACAGAGCTTGATGTCGAGTGGGGGTAAAACGTAAAGTTCTTCCCGCATCCGATCCGGGAATTGGGGATTGCCTTCTTAGTGAGACAAATTCCTGGGCCTTCGGCATATTGTGGTAGGGTGGCCACTTCCTTTCCACGCTGCCTTTACTTCCTCTACTCAAAGTCAGGTATCCATTACTACAAGGTGGGCAGGAGGGGGCGAGCAGGGGTATGCGCTATAAAATGCTCTTTATTTATTTTAAAATAACTAGTTAGAGTGGTTATCAAGATAAGGCGTTTGCTTGGGTTTTGGACTGGTCAGTTCCCGGGAACTGCCGAAAATAGATTGTTTACTGTTTAAATTTTTCTTAAGGGGTCGGGTTGAACCGGTAACGGGAACAGAGAGAAAGGGGGGGGGGGGTGGTTAAGGCAATCTGGGAAGTTGATCAGTGAAGGTAAAAGTTGCATATCAGGACATGATTTCATATCCAGAAGAAAACAATTTAAGGCTTATCAGATGTGACTGATTTGGTTTGTTTCTTGACCATGAGCACTGTTTCTGTAATATATTCACGATTTAAGCAGATTTATTTTCAAGAGGTTCGTCTTTTGATACGTGATTGCATGTCATAATTTTGATTGAATTTTTAATCCTTTACTCCCCTATCAACACCATTTTTTATCCACCTAGAAGCGGGCCGCTTCGACCGTGTATTTCAGGGCCAACTGGGGCTGAACTGGATAAGGAATATCACCCAGCGAAAGACAGAAAGACTCCACAATATTATTGGCTTCCGCAATCATGAATCGCAGTTGTTGTGTTAGCTTCGATTTTGCCTGTTGGGAACAGTCTGGGCTGACAGGGACGCAATATCTCAAACAGACGGATTGAGGTGCTCGATAAAATTTCTTCTCATACAGGAATCACATCTTCTGTGAGCTAAGGCCAAGTGCCTAACCGCTGAACCACAGACGCTTGCTTATACGGCTAGTCCATAATACTCTTTGCAAGTGATAAGCTAAAAAATTTTAGAATTAAAAAACGCGTGTACATACTGTTCTTTGAAAGTTACTCCCTTCTTCTATCTATTTATCTATGTATCTATGTATGTATGTATGTATGTATGTATGTATGTATGTATGTATGTATGTATGTATGTATGTATGTATGTATGTATGTATGTATGTATGTATGTATGTATGTATGTATGTATGTATGTATGTATGTATGTATGTATGTATGTATGTATGTATGTATGTATGTATGTATGTATGTATGTATGTATGTATGTATGTATGTATGTATGTATGTATGTATGTATGTATGTATGTATGTATGTATGTATGTATCTATCTATCTATCTATCTATCTATCTATCTATCTATCTATCTATCTATCTATCTATCTATCTATCTATCTGTAATACTGGCCATTCAAGTATCCAACTTCTATAGGCACAGAGAGAGAGAGAGAGAGAGAGACAGAGAGAGAGACACACACACACACAGAGAGGGATGGAGAGAGAGAGAGAGAGAGAGAGAGAGAGAGAGAAAGAGAGAGAGAGAGAGAGAGAGAGAGAGAGAGAGAGAGAGAGAGAGAGAGAGAGAGAGAGAGAGAGAGAGAGGATGGTGTGTAGTAACATTTTTGTGGTTGCTGGTTTTTTTATGGAAATGTTGAGGCTTTGATCAGCCATAGGTCTAACTGTATGTTTAGCAGCTGATGGGACTAAATTACTTAGACTACCGTGATGTGTCAACAAGGTAGCCTAATATTGCGAATTTTGTGTATGATAGATGCTATAACGTTTCGACAATGTCAGCTACATCCATTGTCGCGTATCTGATACCGCTTCTTGAATTAATTATTTTAATCTCAGGAATCGTATGGTTCTACGTTAGACACAGGAAGGAAGACAGACATGGTTCTATAGACATGGAAATGGTAATGTCAGTAGTGGACGAGTTCGAGATGAATTGTTTTCCAAGTATTGTTGGTCTTGTTCAGAGAGATGCGCACTTGCTAGTAAGTTACATATCTATCTATCTATCTATCTATCTATCTATCTATCTATCTATCTATCTATCTATCTACCTATCTATCTATCTATCTATCCATTTATCTTTCTATCTCATTCTCACCCCCCACCAAAATGACAAAATTGGCCAAAAGTAGGCGATCTCGCGCATACGACCGAGACTCACAGAAACATTTTTCTCACGACTCGAGAATCGAACTCAAGTCCCCTCTGTGTGACAGGAAAGCACGTAACCGACTGCAACACCACAGATGTCGGGTTTCTGGCGCTTGAAAAATACCCGTTGACGATAACTAAAAAGCACACAACACAAGAAGACAACTATCAATTTGATATATCTTAACTAAGCCCGTTAATAAACGAAAGTTTCTGCACAGCACAGCACTGTGAGTGTGAGTGTTGCAGTTCACTTTGGTGACAGTTTTACGGTGCTTGGAACGGCAGACCTTAGTGTGGGACAAATGCACCAAAACAGATCATCAAAGAACATCAGATGTCGCTGCAGTGAAAGCAGAAGTTCTTCTACTAAATATATTTATCAACACGTTTTGACAGTTGGCTGCGAAATGTATCTTATCGATGCGATTTCCTTATAAAGAAACTGGAAGATATTGAAAGAGTTTTACTTTTACATATGAAATTGAGACGTGAGGGTATTGACAAGACACGCGTGAGAATAAGTCATGTTCTTGATATGTATGAGTTAGCTAAACTTGTGACATGCAGCCGTTAGACTAGATATAGTTTCTAGTGACACATCGTTTTCTGTATCGATGAAAGTTTGACGCTTTATTTCTCTTGCCCTTTTTATATTTTTCACATAAGTTCTGCTGTTAAAAGATTTTTTTTCCAGAGTGTTTGTTGTTAATGTTGTTGTGGTTGTTGTTGTTGTTGTTGTTGTTGTTGTTGTTGTTGTTGTTGTTGTTGTTATTGTTAGAACGTGGTGTTCTGTATGAATTATAAGGGAGGGTATGTACAGTCAAATGGAAATAATGTCTAATAAAGGTTTTGTAAGTGTCATCACAGCTGACTATTTATATTTATGTCTAAACTACAATTTCTTTACTGGTAGTGATAATCCATGGTGTGTGGGCTGAACAAGAGAGCAGCAGACAGAAGAACATACTCTTTAGAATATCTATAAAACTTGGGAATGGCGCTTACTTCATCAACATGCAGGGCACAGGGATGCATCTTGACGCGCATACATTAGTTAGTAAATTCTGGGATCTTTACGAATGTGTAGCAGTCAACTGTTGCGCTAAGTGTAAAGGCAAATCCAAACAAAAGTTAATCAGATTTTAAAAACTAGTCTCAAAATATTTGTTTTAAAAAGTGTATTGGCTGTTCAAACAAATGAGGAATCTCCAGGCTGTGTTTTTTTGTCCCAGTCGTGTAAATGGGTGTCAGGCGTCGCAGTATGCCGAATACGGGACATGTTATAATTTGGCACGTTTGATATTCCTATATATATATATATATATATATATATATATATATATATATATATATATATATATATATATATATACTTTTGACCTCTTCCATCATTCCCAAAAGGCAATATCTGCGCACGTTTGGAATGCAATATTCTTATATACGTTTTGGCCTCTTCTGACATTCTTGCAAAGCAATATCTGCACAAGGTTGGATTGTGATAATATTTCTATATACTTTTTGGCCTCTTCTGTCATTCCCAAAAGGCAGTGTCTGTATACCTTTTGGCCTGATCTGTCTTTCCCACAAAGCAATATCTACACGAGGTTGGCTTAAACACACAAAGAGTGCTTCTAGATGCTTACTAGGTCGCAGACGACGTACAGCTTTGAGGCAATGGCCCTGCTCCTGAGAAGAAGGTCACGTATACCACTAGCTTGTTAATAGGAAAAGACTCCAAGACTAAAAATGCCGAAGGTCTCAAAATCAAAAGGCATAATGTTCCATTGTGACAATTTTTTCCCAAATCCATCAGAAATGTGATATTTTTTTTCGTATCCTGTATTAATAAACTGTGAATGTAATAAGAACTTTTGATTTGGGTTGTGGACAGTATTTCCCCAAGCTTATTTTAGAACTTGGAAATAAAAAACTGGCTTGCCCGATCAGATAACATTTTGAAATGGAATAAGCTTCATGAAATTTGTATTTTAAAAAAAACCCCCACAGGTTTACAAAATTCATTCTGAAGTACGCGATTTTTCTTTCTTAGGCCTACTTGTTGTAACCCGTAACCTCCTACCTTTAGTGGGTTTCTGAAATTCGTCTCTTCGCAGTTATTCCAGGTCAGACTGCTCTGATCAGACTAGTCCACCAAGACTGACCTACACTCCAGACGTACAGACTGTGTACACTCCGTCTGGAGGCCAGCAGTTTTAAACTGACCACGGTTACGTCATCTACCCGTGCGTCTGTGGCTGAATTCCTCCCGCGCCCAGTAACGGGCCAAAAGCCTGTAGTACGGGAAGGTGATGGATGGGAGTCCAGTGTTGCGTCTGTAAGCAATATCTCTCGCTCAAGATTAAAGTCTTTTGAAGAAATCTCTTTGACTTGTCAGTATTTGTGTATCCCGCTAACAGTTCATATGACGCGTAGATTGATACCTTTACCGGATGTTTTGCGGTCATGAGGCTGTCGTTCTGTCTATCGCAATAGTGAGACATTTACGTTAAATAGCTTGTTGTTGTTTTTTAAAGCCTCTCTTTAACCCATAGAGTAAACTTTTTCTTTCATCTCCAAAGTGGTAACCAGTGTTTACATTTTGAGGTTTAACAAATGGAAAGCAAACGTTGTAATATATCCTTTCTTTTTTAGTTTGCACGACGAAGCAGTACTTTTAAGTATTGTTCACTTTGATACCATCTGAAAACCTCATTTTCGAATAATAAGCGGATCTCCGGAAGCTTAAAATGTTTTAATATAGTTGGCGTTTCGCCCCCATGCACACAGTTTAGATCCTTGAGGAAGTGAGCTTCCGATCCAACCTGTCAGGGCGCACCCTGCAAAACGACCGAGACTCACAATAACATTTTTTTCACGACTCGAGAATCGAACTCAAGTCCCCTCTGTGCGACAGAAAAGCACGTAACCGACTGCAACACCACATATGTCGGGTGTCTGGAGCTTGAAAACTACCCGTTGACGATAACTAAAAAGCACACAACACATGAAGACAACTATCAATTTGATATATCTTAATTAAGCCCCTTAATAATCACTACGTGGGTGGTTGGAGGGTGCCTCTGGCAGGTCCTACTTCTTTACTTTATCCTCTGTTGCTTCTGTCTGTCTGTCTTACTTTTTCCCAGCTCTAAATGAACATTATTGTGTCGACTTGCTTCTCTTTACTCAAACAAACAAACAAACAAACCAATCATTATGACAATGGCAAAAGGAATTAATAAGATTTCTGTCCTCCTACTAAAAGTAAAAGCTTGTTGTAGACAATACATACTCCCTTTCCCTCTCCCTGTACGGTCATTTTTTTTTGGGGGGGGGGGGGGGGTGGAAAGGGTTTTAAGACGCTCGCAACTGCATAAAGTCATACGAGGGCGCGGGACACATTAAATTTTCCAGTTTGTTCGGAAACTGTCAAGTTTACAAGGCAGAGAGCAGTAGACACCACACTTGATTGTCCTCGCCTACATTTTTCAATTTTGTCACATCTAGCACCTGGGTGACTACCTCGTTTCCGATTGTACTCTTTTAGCAGTTATTTGGTCTAAAGGTTTTTCTTTTTTCACTTGGTCTTCAGTACATTGTCTGATAGTAGGGCAATCTTGTCTCTGGTACTCTCAAAACGTGTCCAAAATATCTCCATCTTCCTCTCTTCAACGGCAACATTGGTACATGTATCTTCAACCCCAGCTCTTTCCAACACTCCTTCATTTTCACATATTTATTCCATATTGTTGATACAATTCTTTACAGACATTTTTTTGAAAACTTTTAATTGTTTCAAAATTAAATTTTCAATGCTTGTAGAAATTTAACAAGTTTTTATGTTGCAGACATAGTATTATAACTATGTAAAATGCGGAATCTTTCCTTAATGAATGGCAATGGTTTGTTCTGTTGTGATAATAATGCTGGATGTCGTGCATCGCATGGCTTTACGAGGTCTTCCGTTTTGTGCTCGTCATAGTTCACTCTAAAGCCTCACAGTTTAAAAGGACCACAATGTTTTGACAAGTCGCATCGAGTACCCCTTCCCCTAAACAAAAATCAAGTATCAAAATAATTGTCTAAAGACGCAGCCCCACCCCACCCCTTTTTCTTTACATCGCATGCTCTCAGTCACTGTGCTGTCAAAACAATCAGAACGATATAGGTCGCTTTCCGGACCTCGTTCAGAGATTATTGAAAGAGATGGAAGACCCGGCTATCTGAATATTGTGTCTCTAAAATGGCGAAACTGAATGACTTTTCCTTGTACGTGTTTTAGTCCTATAAAACAACAGCATGCACATACTATAATTAATGATTGTATAATGCCGTCCTTGAAAAGTCATAAAGTTGTTTTCTTGAGTGCATAACATTATGATTCGAGTTTCTCCTTTACTTTCTTTTTAATTAATTCAGCAATAAAGGTGAAGTGGATCAAAGATTGGTAGCAAAACTAAGTCTACGTCTAGCCACGCTCGTGAAAACATGGTAGCAAGGATGTTGTGCTTAATTTGTGAATACCACCATTTTGCCTCTTTGCCTTTTGCTGATTTCCTTTTTGTCCATCCTTACATGTACATGATATTAATCGTATCCACGCTCTTCTCTTTGATGCTAAAAAACAAAGAACCAAACATGGAAAAGAGAATAAAATAGTTGTGTATGAACGCGCTAGGTCGAATTAAATTGTTATCTTTTTCGGGCAAGGCTATGTTTGAGATTTAGTAAAGTGAAGCACACCGGCCCAATAACGGTTATTTAGTAGTACTGTGACAAAGCAATACATACACACACAAACAAAAGAGACACTGTAAAGGCGGAGACCCTTTAACAGACGCGCTCATATGACCTTAGCAGTTGCGAGCGCCGTAAAACCCTATGCTATACTATACTATACTATACAGACCCTATAACAGTGCCCTCCAACCATCGAGGGTAAGGCTCAAAGTAACCCCACCCAGTAACAACCAATTCATACTTCTTACACTTCACTTAATACTTGTGTGCGTATTACTCATCTGTTCACACACACACACAGTGAAGAACACATTACAGAAAATGAATCTCACTGACGTAAAGGCACAGGGTGTGCCCATAGGAACCACATCTTACATCATCACCCAAGGAGCCATATTATTATTTTGGAGTTTATCAACACAGTCTCTGGGCATGCACCACTTTGCGAGAATGATAAGGCTATTTTCAGACGAGCGGATTGGACTCTCACGAGTTTGTGAATTGAATTGAGGGGATAGAAATAGAACTACAGACAATGATCTATTTACACCTTTATCGGAATCTTTACATGTTGCGGGGCTGTCTTTTGAGAGGCTCGTGGGGAGTGGACACTGGTCTCAAAATAAATCAAAATCAAACGGGGCTCAGGTGAGAACGCGTTTAAGGTCACGTCGGACTTCCAATTTTGTTTGACTTTGGTGCGGTAGGGTGTGGTAAAAAGTGGGGGAATGGTTTATTTCAAGCGACTTCTCTCTTTCATAACAAGAATACTCTAAGTGGTGGTCTCCGTTAGCAGAAACAACCTATTCAGTGGTATTATTAGTATCGAGGGTGTTGGGTGGTGGCTATGTATTGTATTATTTATGGCTTTAGATGTTGATATTTGGCTGGCGATATCCCTGAATAGTGGGCAGTACGTAGCTTTAAAAAGACCTATTCGAATTAAAGTATTTGCCATTGACGGCAGCCATGTCGCATGTTCCTAATATCAGACACCGTACGTCCGTACGTACGTAAGAAAGATGTTACTCCTCCCAGAGATAAAGAGGGTGGCTCTTGTGGCCTAGAGGTTAAGGTGTTCGTCTCTGATTCAAAAAGTCCTTGGTTCGAATCCATGAAACGATGGAAAGTATTCTTCTCTCAAATTTTCTCCTGTCACATTCTTTCCTGCTCTCTAATAATATTATGTCGTCTGCTTTCATCTCCATTGTCTTCCCCCACCCCCTCGCCTCCTTTGCCCCCTCCTCTGGGCTCCTGACTCTTTCTGCAGCCTTTCTACTGCTTCTCCTCGGCTTACTGCTCTCTTTCAGCCACACCCCTGATCTAATGGGAGGTAAGATCTACACCTAGCCTTCTAGGGCAAGGGCGAAAAATCTCGGACCTCCTGTGTGCAAGTTGCGCACGTTAAAGATCCCCTGGTGATCCAAAATCGAAAAGAGTAGGCATCGGCCTCCACCCGGGCAAAATTCAAATTAGCTACCAACTGAAAATGTTCGGTGTGTCCCACGTGCTGATATGACCTTATGCAGTTGCGAGCGCCGTAAAACACTTACCAAAAACAAAAGAGAGAGATAAAGAGGCGAAGTGTGAGAAAGACCTCCACCAGTAGAACAGATGCATCTGTTGTTGACAACGCAACGAGCAACAGGCAACAGGCAACAGTCCAACCTGCTATAACGGAAACTTGTCCAAGACAGTCACCTGTACAAATAACCACGTCCCATTCCCCCTCCCTCCCCAACCACCTTGTGTTTTTTCTACAAACGTATCGTGTTCAGTTTAAGTTCTAGTAAGAGTTTTACGGCACTTGAAACACATAATAGGATAAGTGCCTAAGACTACAGGCGTTACTAGAGAGTAATATACAAAGAAAAGGAAGAGAAATGAGGACTATAGAGGTTTACAGGAAAGATGAGGCAAACAGCACCAGTGCTCCCGCCAACCACCCACTCGCATACTATGTTCACTGTCACTGCCCAAGAGGATCACCTGTCTAAGATGACCACTCTCCTTCTTGACAATCTTGACAATGGATGGTCGTCGTGTACAGGTTTGACAGCATTATTATCCCCGCCTCTGCTGGGGTAGAAAAACAGTAATCATGATCTTAAAAAAAAACATACCCAGAAGTCTTAAAACATATTGTTGGATCATTTTCTATTCACAGATATGAGTTTGAATCGAACGTGTCGTAGAATTGCACAGTATCTGAACTCACTGAGGAAGAGGACAACGATTTGAATACTGGTCTTTGGGAACCTAACACTCGTTTGCCCTTTTGGTGGAAGGGACTGGTATGATGTATACAACAAGAGGCCCTTTCGGAATCCGCGATATGTGACGTGTCCGACCCGTAAGCAATTGCCTCGAAGTTAGGCTCTATCATACTAACGTCCTCAAACAGTTCTTGCTGTTCAGATGCGAAAGGATTGGCATCTACCTCTGCAGTGGACGACCGACCGCGGACTCGTGCCTTGACCAAAGGGACCTCAACCAACCCCCAGCTCTCTGCGGACACCACTTCCACCGATGTCGACGACCGTGAATCGCCAGCCTTCGTGTCTCGCCTGGCTTTCCTGTCTGGGGATCTGAAGGGCCGGGTGTTAGACGACTTGCTGTTGAGACTGGCCGCAGGGCTGTAGTATTTCCCTTTGTTGATAGAAGGAGACGTCGACAGGCACTTTGAACAACTTACTTTTTCCGCTGGCGCTGGAGAATCGTAACGCGTGCTCTCGTTATAGTCCGTTTTTCTCTCACGTTTTGGCTTTCTACCACAACTACTCTTTTCACGAGTAACAGGATTTAATTTAGACTGGAAAGAAAATACTGGGTAATTCTGCGTTTTCATTCGTGGAGAAGAGTTTCTTCTCTTTCTCTTCAGTCTGGCGGCATGCTTTTGTTTCTCTAGCCACACTTCGTTTAGCCTATATACAACGTTTGATGATGGAGAGAGAGTGGGTTTGGGCGATTTTAGTTTGGTAGCTGGTTTGGCAAGTGACGTCAGGCCTTTAGAATTACTTACAAGTACACTGTTTTGAGGGGAGAGGCCTGGGTGACCACCGTCTGATCTCGGAAGACTGTTTTGATATATAAAAAATCTGAGCCCCTTTGAAGTCTTATTTTTCGGTCTACTTACATCCCCCTTGGGCATCATTCCAGTGTCATCTGTCAACCCTCTTTTGTTTTTTCCAGCTATGTGACAGCCCGTTTTTGAAGAACGTAAGCCCGCTTCTCTCTGTTTGTGCTTCGACCGCTCTAACTCTTCACCAGAGACTTGAGACGCAAGTTTACTCTCATGTTTCCCCTTCTTTTTGGAAAGCTCCTTACCCGTATGGTAGCTCGAGATCGACGAACTCAACCTTCCTTGGGTCTCATTACTTTTCCCAGACTTGAGTTTTTCGGTCTCTGTTTCCCTAGCATCGAAAGTGTCAGCACACAGAGAACTGACATTTTCTCCGGACACATTTTTCTCTAGTTTGCTGGTATTTTTATTCTTTAGATTTAGTATTGTATCAGCAAAACGATTCACAGATTTTCCTACAAAGTGTTTGTCTGGACACGTTTGACTGTCTAAAGAACCCGTGACTTGTTCCCATGTATGAGAACAACTGGAGTCACGAACAGGTTGTGTGTGGAAGTTTGTTACAGAAGGAAAGTCATTGTTTTCTTGAGGACTTGTCCTTGCAGTTACGAGATCCGTTGTGTTTGAGCTCCAAGGTTCATCACAGAGAGACACCGACGTCGGAGTTCTGGTGGTGTTGGACTCATCTTTAGACTGGACTTTGCTGATGGGAACACATAGAGGGACATGAACACCCCCTTTTGTGTTGTCCACTTCCTCTGCTACATGTTGAGTTTTGGGTGATTTCTCGTCTTCATCTACAATAAAGGACCGGGTATCCACTTTTCCCACACATATCCCAAGTTCTGTTGTGTCTTTGAGCAACGTGGGCACTGGGTAAGTTACAACCCTATTTAAACATCTCCCTTTACTATCCTTTCCATAATTACACGCACTGTCTCTCTCATATTCTATACAAACTCTTGCGTATTCCTGTGAGTGACCACAGTTTATTGGGACACATTTTGAGACCTCGGAAGTGGGCGGTTGAACTGAGTTTTCGGCACGCCTTTCACTAATGGTGCGCTCATTTAATGCCTTGGATATCGTTTTTGTTTCACTCTTCACAGTCTCCAAACTAGGATTGCCGGATGGTGGACTTTTTGTTTCACATGCTTGTGAAATTAATGTGGGTATGAGGACTGACTCGCTTCGCACGAGATCACTCATATGTGACGTGCCATAATGTTTGTTTGGGGTAACAAGAGACTCTGTAATTGGTTTGCTTTTCCCTACTTTGCTACCGTTTTTGTTATCATTAGCAGGGGTATGTTCTTGATCACCACGACCAAAACCTTTACCATGAAAAGAGTCAAAATTCAAGATCTTATCAGGACGATGCTCTTCAGCTTCCAGTTCACAGTTATCGTTTTGGCATGACTTACTCTCGCACAAAGTGGGGTGGCATAACTCTAGGTCACACTCGCTGGGAAAACATGACGCAAAGGTACTTGTACTTGTAGTCGACTGACGCATTTCAGGCCCACCTAAAGTAGTCGACTGGAAATTCAGACCGCTCATATCGGTTTGCCAGGAGTCCGGTCTATCTACAGGCCTTTGGCAACATTTAACACCACTCTGTTTGTTGTCTTTTAATTCCACTTGATGTATTCCGAACTGAGGTCGATCATTAATTTGACAAGTACCAAGCTTTTTGCAACAGAAAAGTGGAGGACACAATGTGATTTCGTCAAGAGCCGAATGACATTCTCTAATCTTACATACCTCATGAATGCACACCTCATCCTGACGCGGTATGGCTTCACAGAGGTTTAGGTGATATGTCTGAAGTGCACTCAAAGTTGGTTGACGCTCTTTGGTTTCAGCCCAAGCAAACTGCCTTGAATCGATTTCACAAGCGTCGTTTTTATGCAACTTTATTTCTGAGATGTTACTCAAATGTGATTCAGTTGCAAAAACACTAGATTCACAAATATCTATAGGGCACACGTGTGTTTGAAGAGGTTCCGTTTTGTATGGTTTTGATGATTCAGGCTCACAAACGACACTTTGTTTCATCTTGATGTCGCCGGCATTGGCTTGAAGAGACTCCCTCTCAGGAGATAAATACTGACAAGAACTAATTAGTTGATCAACCTCCACTTCACAAATCTCCTGGAAACCTGGCTGCAGCTCGGAAGCGACTCGTTGACGTGTTTCAATTTTAAAGACAGTAGCTTTCGGATATGACTCAATGTCAGAAACAACCGACCAATGCGAGTCGATTTCAGAAATATTTGGTTGACATACGTCTTCAGCACACACGATTAGTTCGGACGATTCGATTTCATTCTCTGTTTGTTCATGTGATTCTTTTTCGTAACCATCAGAACGGTAGGCTTCACTTTCACACATTTGTGAGGCGACTTTGCAAAGATCAGGGCCCTGTAACACTGAGCCGCTCCTATTTGCTTGCACTTTTGGCACCTCCTTAGCAGAAGAGTTCTCCCAACCCTCAGGCATCATGTCACTCGTCGGTGATGGGTCAAAGACCAGGTCGGATTCTTTTCGCCCAGAAGGCTTTGTAGATTTACTGCACGGTGGCGAGGATAAATCGACAGAGAAAGGCTCGTTCTCAGAAGAAATCGGTGCTTTAGGAGTAGCACCAGAACGCCTCTTTTTACGTGCAAATGTTTCACTCGCTGAAGGTAGACTGAGAGGTGTTTTAATTCTTTCAGATTCAATTTGCTCAGGGCATGTGACATCAGGAACACTTGATGTGCGACAGCCTTCAGCTTGAGACGGTGAATTAGAAGGAGGAACAGGGGAAGAGTTTGAGTTTTGGCGACTTTTGAACTTATGGTCCGAATTGATCCCAGCTGGCTTTTTACCACAAAGTTCATCACGTGACTCAGCTCCGGCCGAGGGCAAGCGTGAACCAAGCTTCCGCCGTTTGGGAATTGGTCTGTTACCACGTGAGCTTAATATCGGAAGCTCACTCACATTTTCAAGTTCGAATTTTATACCACCATCTCCCTTTCGAGTCTCTGTGTCTGATACCGCGTTTCCACCAAGGGGCTCTGCTATTTGTGGATCCGCATTTTTCAGTTCCTCTCTCTGAATTTGTGACAGAGATAGTGTGAGTTGTCCAGCTTCATTATGATTTGTCCTTACTTGTTGGCACTTGTTCAATTTGTTGATTGTCCGCCGTGGGGCAGGTGTCGGCTTCTTTTTGATTTCCAGACGGTCATTGATTTCACTTTTGCCTATGACCAAGTCCGTACTACCAGACTTCTTGCAGTTATGGTGTGTACCAAGCCTGACCTTGCCACCGTCCGATGTCCCTGAAGCTACGTGCACCATCTCAACAGTCGCTGACGACGCCTTGTGGTGTTTTGGCGGCTTCTGCTTTTCTCTTTGAGCCTTTCCGCGTATGTCGTAACTCTCAACGTACGACCGGTGAATGCCTTGGCGCAGTCTCACCTGTGTGATGTTTTGGGTTAGATGACAGTAGTCGGGGACGCTACTCACTCCGCCTTGACCTTGTCCTTCCCGTTCAGACTTACCCTCCAGGAGGTGATCCATCGCTGACTTTCTCAGCAAATATTTGGAGCGGTGACTGCCTCTTCCAGTCCTACCTCGTTTCTTATCAAGCCAAAACATCGACGCATCTGACTTTGCGTCATTCTCCTTTGACGTATGTGACGAGGATAGCATCTTTGACCGACCAGACGCGGACAAACCAGCTGAATATCCTGGGGTCGAGGGTGATGAGGACTTTAACGGGCTCGAGACGAGTTGTTTTGGCTTTCGATGCAATGACACGAAACGCATGTTTGTACTTGAAGAGGCCCTGTCTGCTATCAGAACAGCTTTGTTCAAAGCTGCAGTCGACGTGGACTCTGATACGTGCAAATCCAAGAGCTTCGGCTTTTTCTGGAAGGCCCAAGTCCATTTTCCAGAACATACTACGTTCGGAGGATGTGTTGTTATCGGGCTTGATAAGAATCGCTGCTGACCGAATGAGCTCTCCGAGAGCTCGCAGATTTGCACTAACTGATCTGTAGACAATTCAACTCCCAGTCTTT